TGCTCAGTCCTTGACTGGTGTAACCTACCAGCAGGTAGTAGTTTACCATAGAGGAAAAAATTCTCTGCTGTTATCAATTCTCAAGATGTCTGGATTCAATAGAGGGGGTTTCTCTGTGTAAGGTGAGCCCTCTGCTCCCTGGGCCACCATGTCTCCTTTGTCAGGTGTCAAGAAAAAGTTCCAGAGCTCTGCCTGTGGCTAGGAAGGCCCTCACTGCTGTGTGCACAACCTCCTACCGCCTCTTGCCAGGATAACGTCAGAATCACTGTCATCTGCTCCCAACCCTGGCTTCTGTTTGTCGTCTGAAGGGCCTGGGACTCCCAGCTCATCCCAGTCCCCCAAACCTTCTTCCCTGCGCTCTGTCCCTCCTACTTCCTGAGCACGGCTCACTCCTGGCTCACTCGAAAGCCCTCCTAGTGTTCCTCTGGAACTGGGGCTCCATCCATTGTCACCAAATTCTAAATCCTGGACTACTGTCTGCATACCCACCCCTTCCCTTTCTTTCTAGTCCAAACATGTTTCCTCCTCATGGATACCGCTTTCCTGGCAGTGTGGAGATGGGGGGGTGGCCCCCTGGAAACAACCATGTCTCAGGCCACCTCTCATGGTTGTGGTCCCTGGCCTCCACCCTCACCATCATTCACTCTCGTTCCTTGAAGATTTTAACTCCTGCTATTGTCATAGAGGTTTCATTTTTCCTTCAGAAAAAGTCAGTTAATTAGCACAGATGGTTCTCCCAGTGACCACGTAAATTTAGAAGTGAACTATACAATAACGCATTGCAAATGGTGGCATTAAGCCCTCTTACATGAGGACAAGCTATCCTTTTTCTTGAAGATGTATCTACTTGTTTATATAAAGGGATGAAATTTCTTTCCATCTTTGTAATCTTATTAGCAGATTACCTTCAATGTTGATTGCGGTCTGGTTTAATGCACATTCAATCATAAAACCATTTACTTTCTTTTCTGCATGCATGCAGAGGAGTTTTCTATGTTGGCAGGAGATTTTACTTTTAATTTTTCCCTGAACATGATTGAAGAGAAGCTTGACAGCCAGTGTCCCAAACAAGGTAAAGGAAGATTGCCATTTGATGTAACCATGGGCCCATCATTTCTACCTTCAGTGACATAATAAAGGACACAGAGCTACCTTCCCTTTCCAGAGTCCTCACTGGGGACTATCCAGTAATGCCCAGTGACATGGACACATGGAACCCCATCTGCTCTCCTTCCTACCCTTCTGACTGAGTGAGCCATGCCAGCTTTGGCTTCCAGAACCACCTGGAAAGTTGAGAAACCCCTCCTCCCTATAGAAGGCTAAAAGCAATGGATGGCATATCTGATTAGTACCTGGCAGGGAACACAGTTGTTCCTGTGCACAGTTAGGCTGTGGTGGCCCTCGGCCTCCATGGCCAACATGCTTGCATTGAATTGAAACTTTCCTCCATCATAAGCACTAGATCACGAAGGTCTCTTGGGAAACAGGCAGCGTAGAGAAGAAATACATTTCGTGGTAAAACAAATCTCTTGTTGACTCCAGAAAAGACTTTCTCTCAGCACATCTTTTAATCTCCTCAAGTCCAGCACTTTCTCATGACTTCCAGAAAGCTATCCAACTCTGTGTTGTTCACTAATCCCCACTCTACCTCTTTTCCATGGACTGATTCAAAGAGAGGACCACTCCTTCTTGCCCCTTCCCCTGAGGCTTTCCCACACAGCTTAACTTCTCCGTGTGGGTCTCCCTCCCGGGCCTTGGCAGTCCCTGCCCTGTACCACTGAGTCATGCATCCGAGGCTTGCCCTCCAGTGGGGAATAAGACAATTTGCCTTCTTCATTTCTTGTTTCCTTCTGTCAGTTTTTCCTTCCAGTATCCATCTCCCCAAGTTTTGAGAGAGAAGCAGGCATCCCCTGTATGGTGCATGACAGTTTTTTTTTTTTTTTTTTTTAAAGATTTTATTTATTTATTTGAGAGAGAGAGAGAGTGTGAGAGAGAGAGCCCAACAGGGGGTAGGGTCAGAGGGAGAAGCAGACTCCCCGCCGAGCAGGGAGCCCGATGCGGGACTCGATCCCGGGACTCCAGGATCATGACCTGAGCCGAAGGCAGTCGCTTAACCAACTGAGCCACCCAGGCGCCCATTCCTGGCATTTTCAACATCCGCACAGATACTGCATCTATGCTCTGGCTTCTTGTCTCCTCCACCATCCCTGTTATAATGTAGGTTCTTTCCCTTTTATACAACACTCTTCAACCTCTGCCTCATGTCTGTCTACTTTCCTGGTTCAATTCCTTCTCAGATCTTTCTCCATTCACTGCCTCTAATTCCCGTTCTCTCACCCCACGGGGGTTTTCAGCCTTATCATCCCACTAAAACCGTTTTACTCAGGTCGCCAGTGACTTCCGTGATGCTAAATTTAATAATGAGATGCTCAGTCCTTGACTGGTGTAACCTACCAGCAGCATCTGCCATGGTTGGTACTCTACCCTTCTTAAATTATTTTTTATAACTAGGATCAATTAGTGAGCAATGCTGAAGAGAAAATTCAAACTCCTGTGACTTGTGTGACATTTCTGGGTGCAGTTCCTGCAAGAGATGTCTGCAGGGACCTGACAGAAAGACATGAAAGTCATTGGATTGATTCCAGTTTCATCTTATAAAAGCTGGAATTTGTAAGCCTAGCCCCACCTATCTCATTGTTGTTGGTAGCAATAAAGGATGCTGGAGCCTTGTCTTCTCTTGGCTCTCTGTCGGGAAAAGGGAGGAGAGACAGAGCCAGATTAGCCGGGACTATGGACAGTGATGGACCTCAACCGGAGTTGTTCCGTGAAACTGAATGATGGGCACATCATGCCTGTGCTCGGGTGTGACACTCTTGCTTCTAATGACGTAGGTAGAACCCAGGGGACCGGAGGGCTGACCATGAACAGCCCTGGAAGGGTGGTCAGCCGACATGCACCCCATGCCTCGTGCACTCCGGGTGATGAATCCTGGTAGGACTCGTTTGGGTCTTCATTTCACGATCTCTAACTTTGCACTAAGTGGGATGGCGAGCTGTTGATTCTGGGGATCCAGAGGTGATCATTTTGAGGGTGGATTATTATTTATTATTATTATTATTATTATTATTATTTTACTGTGATGCATACTGAATGCTTACTGTGTATTTTAAGTGCTTTCCATGCATTATTATTTTTTTAATTCCTCAACAACACTCCTGGGTAAGTGCTATTATTCTTTCTTATTTCTCACCTGTTTAAAATCTGAGCTGGGGCTGCCCCTCCTGCCGCCACCTGCTGCCCCGGTCAGAGACACTCTGCTCTTTGTTAGAAGCTCCTGTTGGGCAGTGGGTGCAGGGGGGCAGGATGACATGACCGTTTCATAGGCGCTTTGCTGTAGGTTCATTGGCGCATCACCAAAATCTTTCATCTTAGGAGAACCTGCTATTATTTCAAGCAGTAGGTTAGTGCCTGAACTATCACCAGCTAATGGCTCTCAGACAAGGCCAGTTTGTTTGCATGACATAATTATCTCGTGTCCACCATTATAGCTTAAGCAGAGGGTATGTTCTTCCATATTTATATCCAACCTACTGTTGTTAAGGACAGAAAAGCGCCACAGAGGATAGAATCAAAACACCCCATTACCTCCACACTGACCCAAAGTGACGTGTGTCTATGCTTTGTATGGTGCAAAAGGTACAGAGTAAGATGGGAACTTCTCTTCCACCCTGAGCGGAGTTCTTTTTCTGAATGTGACCCCCACAGCCCCTATCGCTAGTGTCCTGTGGGTCACGGCAGAAGCAAGAAGCATGTTCCAGCATCTGTGCATGCAACTTCTTTCACTGAGGCAAGTGTCTTTTCTGGGACACATGCAAACTGAGTAGCTCAGATTTAGTCACTGAGCCATATACCCTTTGAAATTTGAGGCAGTAATTATAAACGTTGTGCTGACTGCCCAGAGGCAGTGCCTGCTTGGAGAGCGGAGGACAGCATCTCCTCGGATGAGCAGCGGGCAGCTCTCGGGGTTCTGCTTCATGTCCGCCTGCTTCCCGTAGTCTTTTCTGGATCTGGCCCCACTGTCCCGTCCTCCGCCCTTTTGCAGAAATGCTGATGCTGACCAAGGGGCAGCCTCACCTAGCCCCCTGTATGTGAAGCCAGTGTGTTCATTTTATCAGAGGTTGAAATAAATATTAGAATAAATAAATGAGCATTTGACATGGTGGGCAGAAAGGAATAATACCCCTTCTGATCTCATGAGTGAGGCTCTCAAGAAAGTACAGGTGGAATATGTCATTATTAATGAATAAATCAATTAACCAATTCAACAGTCATGATTAAGCTTCTACTTGGTGTTAAAGTCTATCCCAGCAGTGATGAGAGTTTGCACAGAAGATAGCTCCATGTCTTCGGGGCTTCGACAGCCAGAGGAAGACACCTGATGCCTGGGAGAACAGCCACATAACAAGGCTCAATGTTAGATCACGAAGTGCCGGGAGAAGGTGAGGGGTTCAGAGAGAGGAGGCTGATGGGAGCTGGGATGTGCTGGGAAGGCTTCCAGGAGGAGGTGAGCTGAGCTTAAGTGAGGCTGGAAGTCAGACTCAGGCAATCTAATGGGCAGTGTGACGGCTCCATTTCAGTAGAAGAGGCTGGCTTCTGCCTAGTACCGTTTTGCGGAAGTCTTCCTGCCGCTCGAGGGGCAGCCCCAGGTCCCCCTTGTCTATGACAGTGAGTGGACTTCAGGCAGAGGGCGTCTGTGTTTCCCTGTGGGAACAGGGGAATTAATTTAAAGACTTTTTAAAAAGTTTGAACGATATTTCAAAATTATTCATGATGTTGTCACTAAAGATCTGTCTTTACAACAACTACAAAACCAAGACTTATACCAGGGGACACCCTCCGCTGCGCCAACTGGGTCTGTGGGCTGCCAGAGTATTCCTCATCCCTCTGCCAGCCATTCGAGATTCCAGTCATGCGTCACTTCCGCTGCTCTAGGCCGCTGGCCTACCGGGGCAGTCACTGAGGGGTCTGAGCACCTGCTTCCTGTGCCCTTGTCCAGTGGTACTTGCTCAAATTGTCCATTCACAGTTATTACCAGGCACCGAGGCACCCAGGGCTGCCCCATGGACTTCTCTGAATTCCGGACACCCTCCTTCCCGTCACCATTATACAGAAACCACTCTCTCTACTTCTGAAAAACAGGTGGCCACCAGGGCATTAGTTAGATGGAACCCTTACTAAGTCACCTGGTTGAGGGTTTCCCTCCTGGGAACCAGGATCATGTATCTGGCGCATCCTGAAGCTGAGCAAACAGGCAACATAAACTCCGCAAGTGGATTACTAGGAGTGGGGATGATAGTGTGTGGCAGGTGCAGTTGTCCCACCCGTACGCTTCCCGTGAACCGCTGGCGCTTAGCCTGACTTCCAGCTGCCCGCATCTGCATCTCCTTACCTGAACGCCGGGGACTTACGCAAAGCCTCTCCAGGAGCAGCCCGTAGCAATGTACTGACTGGAATTATCTAGGAACATTCTCGGTCCCTCGCTTCTTGGGAGCTATATGTTTTCCATGAGCGTGGGGTTCATAGTGGCAACTGTGATAGAGCAGTGTTTACTGGCTCTCTTCCTTCTCCCACTTGCTCACACCCCTACTGCTGTACCCTTTGCCGCTCCAATAAATTACTTGCTTTGGGATCCTTGCCTCGGTTTCACCATCTGGAGGAACCCACACCAGTTCAAAGAGGCCACTTGTATTTCTAGCCCCTGGTTACTGAATCAGGTATGAGGATCATGGCACCACATGATTGTTACTAGTTCAAAGTAATATATCGCATCTTCAATGACAGTGTCCTAAACCTACAGTGTCATTCCTCACAACCTGGCTCTTGTGGTTGTACCTTCAAGACCGTTCAACATTCTGTCATGCCCGTCGCTTCTGGAAGATGCAGTATCTTCAGAGAACCAATGCATTCTGTGGTCAGGAGCTCACTGGTGCATATCCTTCACTATAAAGGGGGCAAAGCACTAATGCATGAGATCCTGTAATGACAAGCCAAACTCTGTGAGCTCTTACATCGTAATGCTGGCCGAGGAACTGTGAAGGGGACATACATGGAAACTCATCCATAGAACGTGATAGTCTCAGTAAAGATGAATTGCTTGCTTCCCTCCCCACTTAGGTGGGGTGTTTAATACAATCAGCTTGCCACTCAGGGGCTGGCTTGCCTCCTCAAGGAATGGTACCTTACCAAGACTCGGTGTCAGTCTCTGCTGCTGCTGACGGTCACACATTTACAAATAGTGGGATCTAAAAGAGCTCTGGTGAGAGGTAGCCCATGCAGTTGGCCCAGGGGCAGTCTTAATCCCTTCCAGCATGTCTGTTCCATTTATGGGCCCATAGTGTGAGGCCTGCAGTGGTCAGGTAGAGAGGCGAAGTAGCATCCAGTGGTCAACACATCTTCTCTACCCGATTACTGAGAGCCTCTCCCAAAGACTCTGGTGGCCACAGAAATTTCCAGGCAGAGTCGTGGGTGCTTCCAGCTGGAAGACTTTGGGTGAGTGTGCACGGATATGTTTAGTGCCAAGCTCATAGAATGACAATTGTGTCATAGTGATGAGCATCATGTAGTATATTTCTCCTTTAATTCTCTCTCAATCTCCCTGAAAATCAGCCATTATTTTCCCTTTAATCCAATTGGTATACTATTGATTTGTTTTTTGTCAGCTTTACTGAGATAAAATTCACAAAATTGTAAGATATTTAAACTGCATGACATGATTATTTGATATATGTATACATGGTGAGAATATTCATCCCATCAAGTCTAACACATCCTTCACTTCACATATTTACACCTTCATTTCTTTTCTGGTGAGAACATATATCTTCTATCCTCTTAACAAATTTCGATTCAACAGGACAGTGTTATCAACGATAGTTACCATGATATACATGAGTTCCTCAGACCTTGTTTTATAGCTGAAAGTTGGCACCATTTTACTAACGTCTCCCCATTTCCCCAACTCCTGGTCCCTGGCAGCCCCTTTTCTATTTAATAGGAAACGGAATTTTTTTTTTTCAGATCCCGTATATAAGTGACACCATGCAGTAGTTGTCTTTCCCTGTCTGTCTGCCTTATCTCACTTAGCATAGGTTCATCCATTTGTTGCAAATGGAGGATTTCTTTCTTTAAAGCTGAATAATATTCCATTGTGTGTATGTGTAAAGAAATATACATATAAAGAAAATGTGATATATATATACATATATATGTGTATATGTGTGTCTGTATATATATATATATATATATATAAATATATATAAAATTGGATGGAGATGGCTATTATGACCTCATTTTCAGTTCTAAACCAAAAATACATGCCATGCCTTTTATCCTGTCTCTGTCTCGTGTAACTATATCTATGTACATCTATATACTTAGAAGTTCTCTCTAGTGTCAGAAGCTTTCCTCTTAGTTACTTCCATACAATGAATTCCTTATTGAGTGCGAGTTGATTTTCTGTGGTCCCTGGTGAAGCCTGTTTCACTAACTCCTCTGAGACGACAGGTCTGTGCCTCCAGAGTACAGGTTTGTTACCGAGGCTTGCATCACCCCCCCAGGGGAGCAGGGGACACACAGAAATAGCTGGCCAACATGCCATTAAGGAAATACATTGCTTCTCTGTGTCAGGTGGATTACCAGCCCTCCTAATTTATATTTTATAGGTTCCTAAAAGCAAGGCCAGTGAGGCCACCACAGTGGCAATTGACGTAGGTTTCCAACACTTCGATGCAGCATATGTCTACCAAAATGAGGAGGAAGTCGGCGAGGCCATTCAAGAGAAGATCTCTGAAGGCACCGTGAAGAGAAAGGACATAGTCTACACCAAGGTGCTGTGAGCCAGTGATGGGAAGTCACTGCTAGATACGTTATCTTGCAAAACACAAAAAACAACCTTTGGTCTTGGTTTGAATAATTTATGTACCTTCTCACATCGTAGGGACCCACTGTAGAAAAGTAGAGAACGAAAAAGGCTTGCTTTGCTCGAAGCATGTGAGAGGCAGAAGAGCAGACCACATTCACACGTGAAACATGATTAGTGATACATATGTTTTTTTATCCATTGTGTGGCTCAGCTGAGCCACCACAGGTGGGGTCCACTCCTTTTATTCTTCAGCAGATTCTCTCAGGACATATCCACGTGTGGTTGACCTAGAATTCACAGAAGGGAGCCTGACTCAGAAATAGGTTCTTCAAGTCAGCATTGAATTTCCTGAAATTTGTAAAATGTTCTTAGGTGGAAAACGGTGCTTCCAATGTGGAGAGAGCAGGGGTCTCCACAGAATGACCCTATGAGTGTCTCCATCAGGAACACCCTGTTTCTAGAAAGTGGCAGAACTGTTTCCAGGCAGACTCTGTTCCCCTTGCCTGACACTTCCTGACTCTCCCTTCAGAGATGACTTTTCTGACCCATGGGATGTTTGGGCTGCTCTCCCTGGCCCATCCAAGTTCATTCAGTTTTCCTACCATCACTCAAATACAGCTCGGTGCCCCTGAAGGACCCCAGTCACACCAAGTGATGAATTTAGTCCCGGCGTTTCTTATTTTTAGACCACCCCAGTGACTTGTTACTCACTTCTCAATCTTGTAACTGAGATGCTTAATTTTGGTCCCCAAATGTGTGAAATCACTTCTTTTGGTCCCTGCAGCTTTGGACTACTTTCCGTTGCCCGGAATTAGTTCGACCAGCCCTGGAGAGATCACTGAAGGCACTTCGGCTGGACTATGTGGATCTCTTCATTATCCATTTGCCACTTGCTATAAAGGTCCGCTTCTGCTTTCCCTTGTTATGCCCAACATCACTGCTGCTGCACCTCGTTTCCTCCTTCCTGATAGCTTGTCTGGGTTCTGACTGAGAAGCAGGCTTGGGTGTGGTGCATAGAATTGCTCCATGACTTATGACTCTCATTGACACTTCTGTCATCTCACCGCTGAGATTTTTTTATCCTCAGCCCATAGCCTGCAGAATGATTGAAATTCAATGATCTCTTTGTCTCTACCTCAAAGAGTTGAGGACAGTGCCCTACACGTCTGAGTGATGTGCTCCTGTCTGTGGTCCCTTAGCAATCAGTGTCCTCAAGAATGTTAAGTTATAACTGACTGCAGAGATATGGGAAACCCCTACCTCTGTAGGGGAAGAGTCCCTCCCATATGGACCTCTCAGCCCAATCATGATATGGTACCTTGGGTTGGTCCTCACTGCACCCCTGGGCTTCTTTGGCCTTCGCTGATCCAACGTCTCATCAGAGTGGACATTCACTGACCATGTCTGGTAACCTCACCATCTCTGACAGGTTATCATAAACTGAAGCTGAAACACATTGCTTATTAGTAAAGGGAGTTCCTATCATCCAAACCAGACTGTCCTTGTGAAATCAATTCCAACGGTAGGAAAACTGATTCTTGGCAAAATTTAGGGGTGTGTGTGGATAGGAGGGAGAGGGGGTACTTAGTTACAATCTCTCCTGATTCTTGTTCTCCTCCCCCACCCCATTTCTTCTCCACAACACACACACCTGCATGCACAAATTCACACATACACGCTCACCAGTAATCACAACTTTTTAAAGGTCATGTGACCAAGCTCCTTAGGCACCAGAAAGGTCATTCTTTTAACAAACCTTCTTCCTCCTTCTCTCTCCTCTCCGTATTCCAGCCTGGGGAGGAGCTTATGCCCAAGGACGCCAACAGGGAGGTTATTTTAGAGACGGTGGACCTGTGTGACACGTGGGCGGTAAGTACGGCTACTAGACCCGAGAGGCACTGTGCAGTGAGGTAGAAGTCATTGGGTGGGGAATCAGGAGACATGGGTCCTGGCTCCATCAATTGTCTGCTCTCAGACAGGTGGCTGAGCCTCGACGTACGTCAGTGTTCTCATCGGTACAGCAGGGGGGTTCAACAGGATGGCCTCTTAGGTCTATTTTTAATCTAACTTCTGTGGTTCTAAGTGGGGGTTTCTTTGCTCCATGGATCAGGTTGAACCTGCGAGCCCCATAAGGGGGATTGTCAGCAGCAAGCTCAAAAGGAGGTAGAGCTCTATCCGGCACAAGTAAACACACCCACAGAGGGAGGGAAGGACTGCTGTCTGACTTAGCAGAAGGGTGGGCTGTAGGAGCGAAGCCTGCCCTTGTGTACCCCATTCCATCCCATACACTTTTTGCACCATTCAGGGAAAGAGGAAGCAGAAGGATCTTCCTTTGGTGGAAAACCTGAGAGTTCCTCTTTGCCCTTGACCCTGATACCATTTTTAAAGAACTATTATGGGCTTAATAGCAAAACAGGTGCTGCAGAAGAGAGCGGGGAGCCGAGGGGCAACTTAAAAGCTTTTCAATGTCTATTTGTTGTCCTGGTTGTGCACGTTAATGGACACAAGGAAACAAAACGTGTACATAGCAATAAAGTATCATAGGAAATAATATATGTAAATGATAAAACTGGTTCAGTCAAATCATTATATATGTTAAAAACAGATTTCCTCGTTTTGAAAAGTTCAATGTCAAATGCAAGGGCCAAAGTACACTAAAGATTTGCCTCATGTTTCCCTCCTCCCCAGGCCATGGAGAAGTGTAAAGATGCAGGTTTAACCAAGTCCATTGGGGTATCCAATTTCAACCACAAGCAGCTGGAAATGACCCTGAACGAACCAGGGCTCAAGTACAAGCCTGTCTGCAACCAGGTGAGCCCACAGCCCACAGGAGACTACCTTGCTTCCTGCCCTTCATACCCTCTTCCTTAATGTATGGGACCCAAATTTCTGGCTCATGTCCATTGCATAGGGGATTGTTCCTTTTATTACTAGAGGAAATGCCAAAGGAGGAACAGGTTGAGGGGAGTGGGAAGGGTATGATTTCCACTTCTCAGATTCCTCTGAAACGTCCAAATGGGAGATGCTGAGTGGGCAGACGGCAGTGCTGGTCTGGAGCTCAGGAAGTCGGTCGGGGCTGCAGGTGCAGATTTTAGAGTCCTTGCTTTATGGGTGGTAATTAAATTCACAGAAATGGATTAGTGTTTCTGGGAGCAAATTTCCAGTTTGTTCTGGGATAGGATAAACTGGAAGGGCAGGAAAGTCAACATTTAATTAAGGATCAGGCAAAGGGGCACTGGTTAGGAGACTGAATATGAGTTGCCAAGTTGGGAGAGAGAACATGGTAGAAGCCAAAGGAGAGGGTTGAAAAGGTTTGAGTGAGTCATCGGGGTGGGGGGGCAGTCCTTGGTGAGGAGCAGCCAGTCTAAATAGGGGTGGAAAATGCCACTGGACTTCATGACACGGGCTGCATGGGAAGACCCACAGGAGCAGTGGTGGGGCAGTGAGAGAGGCGCTGAGAAGGGAAGCAAAGAAGTGGAGAGTGAGGAAAGGGAGGAGTCGTAATTAAAAGAAATAATTTTTAAAAATAACACTCAACACCCAAAAAACAAAGAATCCAATCAAGAAATGGGCAGAAGACATGAACAGACATTTCTCCAAAGAAGACATCCAAATGGTCAACAGACACATGAAATATGCTCCACATCGCTCAGCATCAGGGAAATCCAAATCAAAACCTCAATGCGATACCACCTCACACCAGTCAGAATGGCTAAAATTAACAAGTCAGGAAACGACAGATGTTGGCGGGGATGCGGAGAAAGGGGAACCCTCCTACACTGGGTGGGAATGCAAGCTGGTGCAACCACTCTGGAAAACAGTATGGAGGTTCCTCAAACAGTTGAAAATAGAGCTACCCTACAATCCAGCAATTGCACCACTGGGTATTTATCTCACAGATACAGATGTAGGGATCCGAAGGGGTACGTGCAGCCCGATGTTCATAGCAGCAATGTCCACAATAGCCAAACTGTGGAAGGAGCTGAGATGTCCTTTGACAGATGAATGGATAAAGATGTGGTTCATAAATACAATGGAATATTACTCAGATATCAGAAAGAATGAATACTTACCATTTACATCGACGTGGATGGAACTGGAGGGGATTATGCTAAGTGAAATAAGTCAATCAGAGAAAGACAATTATCATATGGTTTCACTCATATGTGGAACATAAGAAATGGTGCAGAGGATCATAGGGGAAGGGAAGGAAGACTGGATGGGAAGAAATCAGAGAGGGAGACAAACCATGAGAGACTCTTAACTCTAGGAAACAAACTGAGGGTTGCTGGAGGGGAGGTGGTTGGGCAGATGGGGTAACTGGGGGATGGCATGAAGGAGGGCACGTGATGTGATGAGCACTGGGTGTTATACGCAACTGATGAATTACTGGACACGACATCTGAAACTAATGATGTACTATATGTTGGCTAATTGAATTAAAAAGACGCCATATGTTGCCAATTTTCAAACACTATTATATTGTAAAGTTTTATAGCCCTTTCGTAAAAGAGCTTGAAAATGAGGCAAGAAACCATTCACATATTTATACCCTTCATCTTAGTGATTTTACTTCTAGGAATCCATTTGCAGAAAATAATTTAAAATGTGTTAAAGTATGTCCCTCGGTCCTTCCTTCGTTCCCTTTGTCTTCCTCCTCCTCCTCATGTCTCAATTTATTTGTGAAAGAAACTAAGCCTTTTTTCTTTTAAGTTTTCCCACACAACTGGTTTTACTGACTGATGCCTGTGATACAGTTTAACATGTCACTCCGTCTTTTGTGCTTCCTGTAAACTGGAGGTTAGGTCTAAAGATGTGATCATATACACATGTCATCGTGAATTCACGAGTTTTCACAGATGGAACATTTTCCCGCCCAGTGCAGTTGCTGTCCTTGTCCATGAGCAGATGGCCCCCCGTTTTGGTCCTGTCTTGCCCATGTTCTTTACTCTCAGGACTGTGAGATGTTCTAGGATCAATCTGTAGCTTTTTTGTTCAGACCTGGAATCATCCAGTTTTCTAAGGAATCTTGGTTTCTTTTAGTAGGAAATGGCATTTAGAGCCCACAACCTGAGCATAATGGTCTCTAATCATTTTAAACACCAATAAAAAAATAAGAAGAGGGGCACCTGGGTGCCTCAGTAGTAAAGCGTCCCATTCTTGATCTCAGCTCAGTCGTGGTATCAGGGGGGTGAGTTCAAGCCCTGCATTGGGCTCTGCACTGGGTGGGGAGCCTACGGAAGAAGAAGAAGAAGGAGAAGAAGGAGAAGAAGAAGGAGAACAGGAGGAGGGAGGAGGAAGAAGAAGAAAATTGTTTAATTACATTTGAAAATTGATAGCATCTGCAGGTATTTCAGAAGGACATGAGAAAAATAATCTGAAAATATAGTATATATGTTAATAGAGTATCAGATATTCCTTCAAAGGACTTTCCAAATTTACATGTCATTGGCTTATGTATTTTGACATCTTTTGGTCTTGGCAATTTACAGGTGGAGTGTCATCCTTGCCTCAACCAGAGCAAACTCCTGGAGTTCTGCAAGGCCAAGGACATCGTTCTTGTTGCCTCTAGTGCCCTGGGATCCCAAAAGGACCCAACCTGGTAATGAGAATATCAGAGTGAACCTATGTCAACAACTCTGTGATGATGAAACACTTTTATTAACATTTTAATGTGGAAAGATTCAAACATAAGAAAGTAAACATGATCATGTAGTGAATTCCCATGTACCATCACCGAGCTTCAAAAATCACCCACCTTCTTACAATCTTGCTTCATCCATGAGTCCATCTATTCCAAACTCCACTCCAAATGGTATTTATTAAGTTATTAATAATGTTATTATTGTTTATTAATTTGATGGTAAAATTTGCACAGCATATCATGCATAACTCTTAGCTGTATAATTTTGACAAATGGATGTACAGTATAACCCACACCCCTACCATGATACAGAACCTTGCTATCTCCTAAGACCGTTCTTTTGTGTTTCTTCCCAGAAAGTTCTTCCTCACCATCTTTTTTTTAAGTATTTATTTTAATTCCAGTTAGTTAACACACAGTGTTATGTTAGTTTCGAGTGTACAGTACAGTGAGTCAACACTTCCATTCAACACCTGGTGCTCATCACAGCAGGTGCGCTCCTCCATCCCCATCACCTGTTTCCCCCCTCCCTCCATTCCCCCTCCCCTCTGGTGCCCATCAGTTTGTTCTCTGCAGTCAAGAGTCTGTTTCTTGATTTATTTCTCTCTCTCTTATTTTTTCCCCTTTGCTTGTTTGTTTCTTAAATTCCACATGAGTGAAATCATCAGGTACTTGTCTTTCTCTGACTGACTTATTTCACTTAACATTATACTCCTTAGCTCCATCCATGTCATTGCAAATGGCAAGATTTCATTCTTTTCTATGGCTGAGTAATATTCCATTGTATATATACACCACCTCTTCTTTATCCATTCATCAGTCGATGGACACTTGGACTGCTTCCATATCTTGGCTATTGTAAATAACGCTGCTATAAGCATAGGGGTGTATGTATCCCTTTGAATTAGTGTTCTTGTATTCTTGGGTAAATACCCAGAAGTACAATTGCTGGATCATAAGCCAGTTTTATTTTTAACTTTTTGAGGAACCCCCATAATGTTTTCTTCCTTACCATTTTTTCTGATATCCTTTTTCAATTTGGATTAGTTTGGTATGTTTTAGGACTTCATAAATAAGTCATAGAGTACACACTCTTTGTGCCCAGCTTCTTTGGCTTAGCATAGTATCTGTGAAATGTATCTGTGTGGTTGCAAATGTCTAGTTTATTCTTGTTTGCTGCTGTGTAATATTTCATTGTATGGGCACATATCCCACAAGTTGTTTCTCTAGTCATCTGTTGATGGAAACATTAATTGTTTCCAGTTTGGTGTAATTCCTATGAATGTTCATGAAACTCTCTTTTAATCATACCATATTATACCCACTTCTCTCAATCGTCTGGAGAATCTGGGGAAAGGTGACAGCACACTCTAGATGTTCAATCTCACACCCTTCAAATCTGTGTTTTTTGTTTTTTTTCTCAGGGTGGCAGGGGGTAGCCCATCTCCCTTGGAAGAGCCAATCTTGAATGCCATTGCCAAGAAGCACAACAGAAACCCAGGCCAGGTGGCCCTGCGCTTCCAGCTGCAGTGAGGGGTGGTGGTCCTGGTCAAGAGCTTCAGCGAGAAGAGAATCAAAGAGAACTATGACGTATAGGCGCAGCGGTATGTTTCCAAAGTGAGGAATGGGTGCTGTGTTGGGGACTATCTCTCTTGCTTTTCAGCAAGTGCCCATGTGCCTTCATTCCCAGGCATCTCTCCCCATGTGCCGTGGGGCAGCTCGGCAGGTGAGAGAGAGAGTACGAGCCTGAGTCCTAGGCTCTATGGTCTTTAGTTCTGGCTTTACCTCTTCCTAATTTTGTGACCCTGAGCACATTTTACTTGGAGGCCTTCCATGCAGTAAAGAACTTTTAAGACCCTGGTTCCTCTCTTTTACCTTCTCTACCTGATGAACTCCAATGTGTACTTCAATATCAAACCCAAGTAGGATTAGCTGCTCTGTTAAACCATCAGCAGTTTGACCACCATAGCACTTGGCATGGCTGTGTGGGTTTTTCCTTATTAAACTCAAATTGCTTATATGTCAGTGTGCTCTCCAGGCTGTGAGACCCTAAATGTCATGACCCTCTCTGGGTCATCTTATAACACCTTGTCCCCAGCAGAGCTCCCGGCAGGTAGGAAGCTAGGTATACATTTATGGACTGGCCAAATTAACAAATGAATGAGTACTATTGCCCTAAACCCTCTCTCGTGTATCTCCTGGTGCCTCAGAACAGTCAGTAGTCTTCACCTTACCTTGTTGTGAACTCTGGCGAATTGTGAAAAACTGTGGGAGCCCCAGCCTGTCCTAATGACAACGAAAATTTCATCCTGAGTACAGTATTTGCACGAGATGATATTGTGGAGCATATTATTTATAAAGCATTTGCTCCAAAACCTTGAAGCCATAGATTTAGTTCATTCAATTTATGGAAATATCCAATAGGTAAATCTAATCTCATTGTTAAACCAATCAGAAAAAGATCCCATTTTATTTTTCAATTCAACTCAATATATTAATACATATCTCCATGACAACATATCACTTCTGGAGTATATTTGTAAGATGAATGATAGATGGATAGAGAGATGATAGATGGACAGATAGAGAGCTGATAGATAGCTGATAGATAGATAGCTGATTGATAGCTGATTGATAGATAGCTGATAGATAGATAGCTGATTGATAGATAGATAGGTGGAGAGGTAGAGGCACCGAGTCTTCTGTGAAATCATCCCCTGGATGAAATAATGAGCTTCCTGCTTTAATATTTCTTACCGAAGATCTGTCTGCTTTGTTATTAATTCCCTCTCAATTAGGTGCTATGTATCTTCAAATAAAAAATCTGGACGTAGGTAAGAGAGACTTTATTCAAAAGGGAGAACTGGATGTAAGATCGATCCCTAAGTGTCTCGGAGATCAATCAGAAAGGTTTTTCTCTTACAGGGAAGAGCAAACACGACTAGGAAGAGAATGGTGTTTGGGGCTGGAGTGAGCAGGTGGTTGACTGAACCGTTGATCAGGAAATGCCTTTTTCTGAAGTCAACTGATTCTTGAAGAGGGCTTTACAGGGGAGCTGCTCTTCCTTCCGGTGCTTGCTTAAGCTCAAGCTTGTGTCAAATTGTAGGTGACGCTGGGGAAGGAAAAGCCTCATTACAGTTTGGTTGATTTTGTCCAGATTGTCCAACTGTCCCTTCGGTTGGACAAAAAGGATTTTTTTTTTCTTTTCTGTTGCAAGCAATTCACTTAGAAAGATTTTGGGTTGTGTGTTATGAGCCTTTTGTGGAGTGGAGCAGCAGAGAGGGGGTGGAGAAGAATGGGGTGGGAGGTGAACTCGGGCCAGCACCCCTAGGAGCTGATGGCAGGGATTGCCCCCCTCCCAGTGCACCCCTGTCCCACCCCCCTGCCCAGCTGGAAAGAACTGAAGCTCCCAGGTAGAAGCCAGCTGCGTTGGAGAGAGTTCAATCTATTTCTTTCCTTCCCTTCAGGTTTTTGACTTTGAATTAAGCAACTGAAGGCCTCAACAGAAATTTCCGATATTTCCAACTACTATTGTAAGTGATGTGTACGCTGTATTTCACGGGTCGTTGGTTGTTTTCTACGGTGTGGAGGTCTGCAGAGGAACTACACTCCCCTAAATCAGGAATGAAGTTCCAATTTCCACATAGCAGTGAAACTGGAGCTTCCTGTAGACCGCAGACTGGAGGTTTACTCCGGAGCTCAGGGTCTGACCTGACGGCAGTGTGAGCAGGGCCCCAGAACACCGGGAGTACAACTGCTAACGTTTGCATCATCGGGAATTCACTACTTTCCTGCCCTAGTCTTGTGCCTGGCGTACCTCCACTCGAGGCCGACTGACCCGTTAGACACAGAAGGCACAGTGCCCACGGTCCACTCTACTTCTGGGGGGCCTAAGGAAATGCTTCGTCTTTAATTCTTTTTAAAATCAGGAGAAAAAAGGATTCCATTAATAATGACTACATAATAATGAGTCCAGCCTGGATTCTATTTATCCTAACACAATTGTAAAATGTAATGTTAATATTTTTATGTACGAGTGTGGCCCACAAAGGCAAATGTACATTTTTTCCTTCGCGGGTATTTTTTTTTTTTAAGATTTTGTTTATTCATGATAGACAGAGAGAGAGAAAAAGAGAGACAGGTAGAAGGAGAAGCAGGCTTCCCGCAGAGCAGGGAGCCCGATGCAGGACTTGATCCCGGGACCCCAGGATCATGACCTGAGCTGAAGGCAGACGCTTAACCATCTGAACCACCCAGGCGCCCCTTAGCGGGTATTCTTTTCCCTGTTTCTTTCAGATCCATTTGTTTCAAATGCATCTTTTTGTTGGCTTTTTCTCAGCTGTGTAATGTCACTAAACTGAATTATAAATGGGTCATGAAATTAATTGACTCTCAAGTTGGTGACTCGTGTCCCCAGTGGTATACAGATAAGATTCTTTGGATTTCTCTGGTTTCTTGAGTCAAGACGGACTCCCGAGTTGCCCCTGTCCATCAGGAGGCGATCCCCTGGGAGCCCCTGCCTCCTTTGACTTTGACTTTTTCATATTCCAGTTGTTCAATTAAACTGCAGGGGGGGTCTCAGGATGGAGGAGAAGGAAGACTAGTCAAATTGACAGGTGTTCGCAAGGGAGTTTAGAGATAAGGGGGTTAAGATTTTAGTTACAGAATAAGAATTTAGTTTCGAAAGAAAGATTGTCAGTAATACTGATTACTGAACAGCAAGTATTCTCTTAAATTATAAATTAAGAAGACAGTAATCACATTTTGTAGGTATGGTTATTTAGGTGTACATATTATCTCAACAGACTGGGAGTTCCTTAATAGAAGGACCCTGTGTTGTCGAGGGAGCTCCTTATATATTTGCTGAATGCATGCGTAAAAAAACAAAAACAAAACAAAAAAGCAGCAAAATCCTCACTGTGACTATTCTCACCAATAGGGGCCGGTTCCACCTGGGGATGAAGTGACCACAATATTCGTGCCCCAGTACTTACCTTTCTTGTAAACTGCCACCTAAGTCAGGCTCCGTGTCTGTATTAGAGGTGCGCGCGCACGGGGTATGCAGGTGGACTGCGCTCCGGCTCGGGAGCCTCAGTGCGCGTGCGCGCCGGGGGACAAGAGGTGGGGCGGGGGGTGGGACAGGGGGTTTTAGACCCGCCTGCCTGCGAACCCAAAGAAACCTTCTGGAACCCTGGGAGGCAGAGTAACAAGTTCATGTCCCTCCTTCTCTTTCAGTGCTGTGGATCATCCTCGTTACCCGTTTTCTGAAGAATACTGACCACGAGCTATCACCATTCGCTCTAGCAGAATTTTTCAACTTCCAGGACTTGGAGAGGACTGTGCGTGGTGAAGGTAATTAAAAGGAGTGTCTGTGGCTTCAGGCTGTTTGCCTTTCTTTCTTTCCCATTCTTTCTCTTTCTTTCTTAAAAATATAAAATAATAAAGACTTCAAAATAAGCATGTTGTTTTTTCCTGATGATTAAAATGATACATAAAGGGGCGCCTGGGTGGCTCAGTCGAGTCGATAAGCGTCTGCCTTTGGCTCAGGTCATGATCCCAGGGTCCTGGGATGGAGCCCCGCTCCCTGCTCTGCAGGAAACCTGCTTCCCCCTTTCCCACTCCCCCTGTTTGTGTTCCTTCTCTCACTTTGTGTCTCTCTGTCAAATAAATAAGTTAAAAATCTTAAAAAAAGATACATAAAATTACAGAAAATTTGGGAAGTAAAGATAAAGGATAGAAAATACAGATAACCTATAATTAGCCCATTTAAAAACACTTAGCTTTAAAATAAGTAAAAAAAAAAAATACTTAACTTTTGGTACATTTTCCCTCGTGATTTTCCTATACGTGTATGTGTTTATTTACAAAATTGAAATAATCTTCAACATACACACTGTCTAATTTTTTTTAGTTAGCATAAGTCTTTTTCCAAGATATTAAAATATTATTAAAGGGGCATCTGGATGGCTCAGTCGTTAAGCATCTGCCTTCAGCTCAGGTCATGATCCCAGGGTCCTAGTATCGAGCCCCACATCGGGCTCCCTGCTCTGCAGGAAGTCTGCTTCTCCCTCTCCCACTCCCCCTGCTTGTGTTCCTGCTCTCGCTCTCTCTCTCTCTGTCAAATAAATAAATAAATAATTTAAAAAATATATTATTAAAAAATTCCAGTAGTATATTTGGCTTAGGGTAAAGCAGTGCATCTCAGTAATTAATTTCTCTATCATCTTGCCTGTGTTTTGGCATGATTCGTTCTTGTGAATTTTGACTTTCATCTATTTATTCATGCAGCACAACTTATTGATCATCCTTTGCTTGCTAGACATTGTTTTATCAGTAAATAAAACAGATGAGAATGAAATTAAAATGGGAACTGTCGAGTTTGTACTCTAGTGGAGGAAGAATTTCATCAGTGAAATAAGGGATGTTTGGTTGTTAGAAACGGGTAAATGGGAGAGAATTCTGCGCAGTCTCACATTTCTGTACTCCTCAGAAGCAGGGGCACTGGCTACCCTTCAATCCACACTTTTTTTTTTTTTCAAGAAGTTCTTACAGCAAACGGCCTTAGAATATAGAGATCATGGCCCCCGCCAGAGAAATGGAAGGCTATTTACAGCCTAGTAATATAAAGCAAATGTTTCCCTCCAGAGAAGGGGCAGGGACGTTTAATGCCTACTGTACCTGATCCAGGTTCCCTAGACTCAAGATTTTTCTCCCATAATTCAACCCAGTGTGTGTTTAGGTATCACCTGGTCCCCTTCACTTCACCCTGTGGAAATGGGGGCTCAAGGAACCAGCAAAACAAACTTTTCAGTGGTATACATTTTTTGCAATATATACATACATCAAATCCTCATATTGTAAACCTTACGCTTACACAATGTTATATGTCAGCGGTATTTCAACAAAGCTGGAAAAGATGCTGTTACTTTAGCTAAGCTTTTACTGTGAGTCATAAGCTGTCCTTTTTCTACTAGCGTCCATGAAACCAGGGCAAGCTAATTTGTTAGCTTACAAACCCATCCTTGATGGTTCTTGACAGTGATTTGAAGAAAAATGAAGCAGGGAAGGAGAATTGTAGTGGTGGAGAGGGAGAGCGTTTGATGCTCTTATAATACGGTTAGAAAAGATTCCACTGAGAAGGTGACTCTTGAGCAAAAATTAAGGCAAGAGAGTGAACTTGGTGGGAATGGGGGAGAGTATTCCTGGACATGGACCAGAAAATGCTCAGGCCAAGAAGAAAGAGTGTTCCTATACTATTTAAGCGACAACAAGTGGGCTGGTGTACATGAAGTTTAGTGAGCAAAGGAGATAGAAGTAGAAGATGAGGTCCTGACGGCCAACAGAGAGGGGGTATGTCACCCAGGCTTTGAAAGGACTTTGGTTCTAAGAGAAATGGAAAAAGATACTGCGGGTTCTGAGCAGAGAAACTCTTGTGCTGACACATTTTAAAAGGATCACCTGGGTGTTCACGTCGAGGAGGAAGAGAAGCCTGTTTCAGGGCTCCATGTAAAAATTAAGAGATAATGTTGGCTTAGACCATAATGTGAGCAGTAAATGTGATCAGAAGTTGTTAGAATGGGATATATTTTATGGGTTGAGTCAACAAGGCTGTCTAACATACTGGCCGTATGGTGAAGGGAAAGAAAACAATCAAAGTCGACTCCAGACATTTGCAGTTAAGGAACTGGGAGGAAGGAGTTGCCATTTTCTCAGAGGAAGACGATGTAGGAGGGGCAGATTTTTGTGCGAAGATGATGAGCTCAATTTGAGACATGTGTGTTTGAGATACCTATTAGGTATCCAAGTGAAGAAGCCACACAGACAGTCGAACACACAAGTCTACAGTTAAGGGAGAGGTCTAGACCAAAGATATGTATTCGGGATTCATCAGAATAGAGTTGCCACTTAAAGCCATGGAAGGAGCTGGTCAGAGATTAGATGGTGTGAGTGAGCGTGAAGAGAAGCACCATGAGGGATCCCGTTGTTAAGAGGTGTGTGGGGAAAAAAGTGGAGGAGACAGGAAAGGAGGCTGAGAAGGACGGGCCAGTGAGGTAGGAGGGAAATGGAGGACATTTTTCTGTTCTGGAAGCAAAGAAGGAACAGTTTCAAGAAGAGTCAGATGCTACTAACAGTGTAAGTAAGACAAGGACTGAAAATGGACCACTGGATTTGGCAATTGACCTTAACAAGCTCAAGAGCAGTTTTGTTTTGTTTTGTTTTAAGATTTTATTTATTTATTTGAGAAAGAGAGAGAATGTGCACAAGCAGGCGGAGGCGCAGAGGGAGAGGGAGCAGCAGACTCCCCGCTGAGCAGGGAGAACAATGCTCTTAGGAACAATCTAGTAAAGAGCGAACATTGATGACCCAGGAGAGGGGAAGAATTGTGAATGATGTCTGTATCAGTTTCCTGTTGCTGCTATAACAAATCACCACAAGCTCGGTGACGTGAAACAACATATATGTATTGTCTCACACTTCTGGAGTTCAGAAGTTCAAAATTGGGTTCAATGGACTAAAATCAAAGTGTCTGTGTGCCTTCATTCCTTCTGGAGGTTGTAGGGGAGAATCTATTTCCTTGCCTTTTCTAGCTTCTTGAAGATACCTTCTTCCCTTGTCTTTCGGGCTCTTCCTCCATCTTCAAAGCCAGCTGCATAGCATCTTCCAATCTCTTATCTATGCTTCTGTCCCCACTTCTGATGGCAACCCTCCCTGGTCCCACTTACAAGGACTTTGTGATTACATTCGGCCTCCCCAGATATTCCAGGAAAATCCTCTCATCTCATGATCCTTAATCATATTTGGAAAAGTTCTTTTTGCCACACAAGGTGGCATACTCACAGGCTTCAGGGATTGGGGCATGGACATTTCTGAGGCCATTATTCAGTCTACTGCACTACCTCTGTGGTTAATTTGAGGCAACTAAGCCATAGTTTCCTAATCCTTCCAATAGAATAAGTATATCACCAGCTGCCAAGTACTGAAGCTCTAGACTTTCGTCCCAGATATCAAGTGGAAAGCAACATTAATAAAAACAAACAAAAAACAACTGTTCTTTTAAGGTTGGCATCATCTTGACCCCATTATCTTACCCACTTTTTGGCAACACTCCCTCTGTTCTCTTAGTTTATAATTCCTTCCCAGGGTGTGTTGACATCATCCTTGTTCATGCAGACGACACAAGCTTCTCAGTTTTTTGATGTTCTCAACTCCAGAGAGTCTCTCCTTGTACTGAGACCACACTAGGTAACTACCCCCATGGCAGCATCTGTGAAACCCTCATGCTGACGTGGTCCACACCAGTCCCTTCTCCTACTGTGGTTTCTCCTGTACCTCCGTCCATCAACTTCTGATTCATCACAGGGGCAGCCAGTGAGACTCTCCCCTTTCCATCCTTCAGCTCCCATTGGAGTTAACATATTCAAATTAGGCTAAAGGGATACATTAAGGTGAAATTTATCAGATGTCACGCATTCTCCCTACACTTCTGCTTCAAACAGATTTGCCTCCTGGCTTGTTCCTGTCTTCATCAGTCCTTGTATCAATCATACAAGGCAAGTGTGCCTACAACCAAGACAATTCCTCTGCTTTTATTTTATCTAAAGCTGAGACTCCAACCCCACCAGAGATTCTTAATCATCTGCTCTGTAGTAAAGCCTTGGTGTCAGTATGTTGTGAAAGCTCAGTATGCAGTTCCAAGTGAGGCCAAGGTTGGAAACCTCTAATATCATGATTACATTCTCACTTTGCCTTCCTAATACCCATTTTACTTCAAATGATTGATTTAGGTCACTCTTGTTAATTCCGATTCCTTTGACATGTAATCACTTTGGGAAGAGGACTGGCCAATGACAAGGGAGAGGAACTGTGTTGGGGGGCTTTTAAGGACTTGTTCCCACTTCTTAAGACAGGTGGCCCCTCTCCTGCTGCTGGCTGTGTCCTGTTGCCACTTGATGTCTGGATCTGCTGTGCTGGCTGCACCCAGCTCAAGGATGATGCAGATGCCCAGAGGAAAGAAGAGCTCAGAATATCAGAAGGGGACCTGGACCCCCCACGGATGACACCCAGCGCTTGCCTTGCCTCTGGACTTCTTGTTAGGAAGGTAACACATTTCCGTGGGGTTTAAGCCAATGGGAGGCTGGTTTTCTGGACCTGGTTGTATCCTAACCAAAATAGACATCGAAGTTAACAACTTTCTCTTGACGACTCCCCTGCACCACGCACCTTGCTGGCAGTTTGGAATCTGCAGAGATTGCTGAGTCATCCTTCGAGAGCATGAACCCCAGTGAATTGGAAGGGCTTGACAATGGTATTGGGTAATATTAAACTAAAAAATTAT